CCCCAAAACCCCAAAACCCCAAAACCCCAAAACCCCGGGGGGCTTAAAAGTATCAAATGATAGAGACTAATATATCTTTTTGTATTTATTAACTGATTAAAAAGGAATGTAATAACAAAATTCTATTCATAAGTTATCAAGTCCTTTATAGAAATTTTGATTTGAAAGGGTTGTTTCTCAAATTTAATTTTTCAGTCTGTTCTAGTTTTTGTCTCCTTTAAAGAGTCTCTGCAGATATATTGTCCAACATAACTATTGAATATACTAAAGGTTATTGAAGCTAAGAGCAGATAACCATCAGCCCAGATAAAGAAATATTTGTGCATTCCGAAGTATGCTCTCCAAGGATCGTTATCAACTCCACAAAGAGTGTGATTCAGGTTAGCCCAGGTCATTGCGGACATTGGTGTCAAGAAGAATCTCATATAAAAGCTGAAGAATATGAACCCAAGCAGTGGTAATGGATAGACATTGAAATCTTTGGGTGAGTATCTGCCTGCTTTAAACATAATCATTGGTGCTACGATAGCTGCGAATAAATGCTGTGTATAGTATATCACAATTTCAAACATAGTCAACTCGTCATTTTCTGCAAATACTATTCCCAGCCAACTACATATAATAAGTAAATATGTCAAATCGTAATGAATGACTTACGCTCCGCAGGTCTGACAGAATGCTATGAGCATAAGCATAAATGAAAATCTGTTGTAAGGTAAAAACGCTACTAATCCAAATAATGCCTAAAAAGAGAATTAGACTTATTTGAATATACAGTGGTTATGTGGCATGGGTTAAGAATAAAGATCATTGTATTTGAAGTATATTTCAAATGCAGTTGGAAGAAAAGGAAAAAGAAGCACAGCAATCCTAGCATTATTTCCAAGAAATTTGGCTAGAGACCTCTTCCATTATGTTGGATGATCTACCGCCTTTAGTCACAGATTCGTCTCATGACGTATATTCCTTTGTAAAAGTTATACATATGATAGGGAAACTATTTAAAGCATTTAATATACTCATTCTTACCAGAATCATAATTAAAGCGATTTTGAAACCGAGAGTGCTCTCAGATGCACATTAAGGTCCACCATTGTAAATAGTCTCGAAGGTCTCATTATAAACTCCTTGCAGAGACTTCATTCTTATAAACTCCAGTAAATTCTGAGGATCAGTGATAGATTTGGGTATCGACACCATTAATAATTATAGGTTAACTGAAGTATTAATTAAAATTTAAAGCTTTTATTATCGCTTATTTGTGTAAATAATCAATTTGAAAACTTTGATATATGCTATAATTAATTATAAATCACAAATTCTCTATATTTACAAGAATTTTATGACTTTCCTCTTCCGGGGTTTTGGGGTTTTGGGGTTTTGGGG